GAGGGAGAGAGAGTGAAATCTACTCCCTTTTTGAGAAGACTTTTTCTCCAAGATCTGAACTCCTCAAAGAGTGGTCCCTGGACCCTGTCAGTTTATAAGCTGTTACTGGTCTGTGATGAGAAAAAGACTTTGAGCCAAACTAAAAATCAACTTTGTAATTAAGCACACTGCTTGATTCTTCTTATATACTTTTTGTAGCAAGACTTTTTGGATGAAAAAAGCAACGCATGGATTTACATTGTGATGTAATCACCTCATCACATCTTGGAAAAATACAAGCCTTTGACAGATTGGCTACTTAGCATAGCACTATCCTAGAACCATCCCCTCACCAGGTCATGGCGAGCATTTTAACTGATAGTCCCTCAGGGGCTCTGTACCTCTCTCTCTGTTTAACAACTTTACCCGAGAAGAGTACAGATCACGTATGAGTTGAGCCAGCAGCTGAGGGACTTCCAGAGAAACACAATTCAAGACTCTGGGAAATGGGAGATTTCAAAGGACACAGGCCTGTGTTATCCCTCTGAGGTCTTTACTTAGCCTCTTAAGTGAGCTGCTATTATGAACAAATTTGACATACTATAACCTAGCCTATGATTTTCCTACAATATCTTTCATTATTTTAGGAACAGGAGGAATCCAGGATTCAGAAGAAAGCTATTTTTTCCCCAAGGAATTTATTATGAGCTGATTAAAATTGAGAGCTGGTGGTGATCCTTCAAAATTTAAAAAGAAAGTGTTTTCCTTAAGAAAATGAAAGCATCTCAAGACTTTGATGTATTTTTGGTCAGTATAGACACTTAGACGACCATATGAAAGGCAAAGGTATCTTATTTTCAGGGAATACAAAGGTGGAATGAAAGCAAATATGTATCAGAGAGGTTCAGAGTTCAAAAGGATTTTGTATACAGAATTAAGAAATTGACTTCATCAAGATGACATTATTGGAGGAAAATATGTAAAGTCGTTAACTGATATCATCAAAACATATTTGTATCTTACAGGATTGGTTTACAATAGATCATGCCTCCACTGCTCTTCCCCCTTGTGCTCTAGCAAATTCCTGCTTGTGCTTCAAGATTTATCCTGAAGTTCACCTTTCCTGTGACGTCTTCTACTTTCCCAGGGAAAATATCTATCATTGGTATTCCTGCATTGCAACACCCTCCACAGGCAAACTTTATGTTGACTATTTTTTTTTCATCTGCTAATTATTGAACTCCATGATCCAGGGCTAGTGACCTATTTACCTTTGCACTTCTTGCCCTTAGCACAGTGCTTGACCCGGAAGGTACACAATGAATCGGCTCTACTGCTCTGTAGGTTAAAAGCATGAACTGGAATACTGAAATGATGCCTGGGTTTGCATCCTGGATCTGCCACTTATTATGTAACTGTGAGTGGGTTGGTCATTTATGCCACAGTTTCTTTACCTCTTCCAGAGGGTAATAATTGTAAATATAGTGTTTGAAAACACAGTGTGATAAATAATACATATAAAACACCTAGGACATACCTGGAAAACAATCAGAACTTCAGAAAGGTTGGTGATCATGTTGTTGTTGATAATGAGACCCTAGAGGGCAGAATTAGGATCAGTGGTTAGTACTATCATGGAGTATATTTCAGCAACAGGGTAAGAAATAACTTTCTAACAAGGGGCAGGAATATCTGAAGGCTGAGTAGGCTGCCTTAAAAAGTAGTGGGCTACAGTTTTAAAATCAGTGTGGTGACTGGGCGTGGTGGCTCACGCCTGTAATCCCAGCACTTTCGGAGGCTAAGGCAGGTGGATCATGAGGTCAAGAGATTGAGACCATCCTGGCCAACATGGTGAGACTCCATCTGTACTAAAAATAAAAAAATTAGCTGGATGTGGTGGCGCATGCCTGTAGTCCCAGCTACTCGGGAGGCTGAGGCAGAAGAATCACTTGAACCCAGGAGGCGGAGGTTGCAGTGAGCCAAGATCGTGCCACTGCACTCCAGCCTGGCGACAGAGGGAGACTCCATCAATCAATCAATAAATTAATTAGTTAATAAAATCAGTGTGGTAATACCATAGGGATAGACATATAGATCAAAGGTACAGAATTAAGAGTTTAGGAATAAGCCCATTCGCATATGGTCAATTGATTGTTAGCAAGGGTGCCATGAATACTTAATAGGAAAATAACAGCCCTTTCAACAAATGGTGCTGAGACAACTGCATATCCACGTGAAAAAAAGCGAAATTAAATTCCTACCTAGCACTATATACAAAAATTAAGTCAAAATGGATCTAAGACTTAAATGTAGGAGCTGAAACGATACAACACTTAGAGGAAAACATGGAGCAATCCACCTGACCTTGGCTTTGGCACTGATTTCTTAGACATGACACCAAAAGTATAAGCCATACAAAAAAAAAATAGATAAATCTGACTTCATCAAAATTAAAAACTTCATTGAATCAAAGGACAATATCAAGAGAGTGAGAAGACGGAATGGAGGAAAGTATTTCCAAATAGTATACCTGTTTAATGTCAAATATCAGCCAGGCGTGGTGGCTCCATGCCTGTAATCCCAGCACTTTGGGAGGCTGAGGCGGGCAGATCACAAGGTCAGGAGATCGAGACCATCCTGGCTAACACAGTGAAACCTCGTCTCTACTAAAAAAAAACACGAAAAAGTCACCAGATGTGGTGGTGGGTGGCTGTAGTCCCAGCTACTCAGGAGGCTGAGGCAGGAGAATGGCGTGAACCCAGGAGGCGGAACTTGCAGTGAGCTGAGATTGTGCCACTGCACTCCAGCCTGGGTGACACAGAGAGACTCCGTCTCAAAAAAGAAAAAAAAAAGGACAAATATCCATAATATATAAAGAATTATAGCTCAACAACGAAAGCAAATGGCCCAGTTAAGAAAATGGGGAAAAGGCTTGAATATACATTTCTCCAAAGGAGAGATATCAATGGCCATGAGCACATGAAAAGAGGCTTGATGTCATTAGTCATTAGGGAAATGCGAATCAAAACCACAATGAGATACTCCGTCACATGCACTGGGATGCCTCTAATTAACAAAACAAAACAAAACGGAAAATATCAAGTGCTGGTGAGGAGGTAGAGAAATTGGAACCTTCATGTGTTGCTGGTGGGAATGTAAAATGGTATAGCTATGGTGGAAAACAGTTTGGTGGTTCCTCAGTAAGTTAACCATAGAATTCCCATATAAACCAATAATCCTGCTCCTAGTTACATACCTAAAATTATTGAAAGCAAGTGTTTAAAAATATGGTATATCCATAAACTGGACTATTATTCGGCCTTAGAAGGAATGAAGTACTGATACAGGCTACAATATGGGGTGAACCTTGAAAGCATTATATTGAGTTAAAGAAGTCAGATAAGAAGGCCACATATTGTATGACTCCATTTATATGAGCCATCCAGAATAAGCAAATCATAAAGATGGAAGGCAAATTATTGGCTGAGGGAATGGAGAATGGGAAGTGGCAGCTTAATGGGTATGGGGTTTCCTTTTGGGATGATGATAATTTTCTGGAACTAAATAGTGGTAATGGTTGTACAAACTTACAAATATACTAAATGCCACTGAGTTGTTTATTTTAAAATGGTTACCTTTGAACCTTTGTACATAGTTGGTGGGAATGTAAATTCCTATAAGCACTATAGAGAACAGTTTGGAGGTTCCTCTACTAACTAAAAATAGAGCTACCATATGACCCAGCAATCTCACTGCTAGGAATACACCCAAAAGAAAGGAAATCAATATGTTGAAGAGGTATCTTCACTCCCGTGTTTATTACAGCTCTATTCATAATAGCCAAGATTTGGAAGCAACCTAAGTGTACATCAGCAGACAAATGGATAAAGACAAGGTGGTACATATACAAAATGGAGTACTATTCAGCTGTAAAAAAGAATGAGATCCTGTCATTTACAACAACATACATGGAACTGGAAGTGGTTATGGTAAGTGAAATAAGCCAGGCACAGAAAGACAAACATTGCATATTCTCACTTATTTGTGGGAGCTAAAAATTAAAATAATTGAGCTCATGGAGATAGAGAACAGAAAGACTGTTACCAGAGGCTGGGAAAGGTAGTAGGATGGTGGGGAGTGGCAAATGGGGATGGTTAGTGGGTACAAAAAAACAGAAAGAATGAATAAGACCTAGTATTTGCTAGCACAACACAGTGACTATAGTCAAACATAATTTAATTTTACATTTTGAAATGATTCAAAATGTAATTGGATTGCTTGAAACACAAAGGATAAATGCTTGAGGTGACAGACACCCCATTTACCCTGATGTGATTATTATGTATTGCATGCCTGTTATCAAAACAACTCATGGAAACCATAAATATAAATACCTACTGTGTACCCACACACACAAATAAATTGGTTATCTTTATGTGTATTTTACTGTAATAAAAAGGAGTAGTGAGCTTCTTTTTGTAGCAGTTATTCAAACTGAAACTGAAAAGCAACCCATTGGGGGTGCTGTTCAGGGCACTTGCACAGGGTACTGAAGCTTGGACAAAATGACTTCAAAGAAAGTCAGTGACTGTGAGTAAGCAAGGCCTCTGCCTATGGTGTCAGGCAGACTGGGAGCCAGGGTCCTGCATCCTGGCTCTGTGACCCTGGGCGGGACTTAACCCTCTCTGAGCCTCCGCTGTAATGCAAGGACAATAATTACAGGGTTGTTGGAAGATTTATGGTGGGAGCACAATGCGTGACACATGGTAAGTGCTCCATAAAGGCCAATCCCTCTTAAGGTTTTGAGATTCTGTAATTCCTTAAAAGAACCTTCCTCGTAATCAAAACTACATTTTCAAAATAATTAAGAAGTGTTTGGGCGCTGTGAGAGGCTCCCAGAAATCAGGGAAAATCCTTTTGTTCCCATCTTGTTCCTAAGGAAACCCACTGCCACGAGATCTGTTTTCCAGGCTTTGAATGCTTTTTTTCCTCATCTCTGAGTTTTCTTCTCTTTTCTCCAGCCTCTGCCTCTGAATGCGAAGGAAAACTGGACCAGCTCAGTGTGAAGCCTGTGAGTAGAACACCCTCTTAGTTCTTTCACAGTTGGTTTCTGGAAAACATCTCTATGTCCAGATTACTCTGTGGGTTTCAGCCCTCCCTGTGTTTTGGCTTCATGGTTTCTGTAATACTTCAATTCATTATGATGTGACTGTAAATGGTCAGTCACCTTCACTTTCTCTCGCTAATTACACCCACAAGGATTTCCACAGGCCTGTGGCATTTTCAAAGAGCTCACACTCATGGATTTGCCAGAAATCCACAACAGAAATTTTAAATACAGGCATTCTTTGACTTCTGAATGCCTAATTTACAAAGGTCAAATATCTATGGAAGCTTGGCCCTTGCTAGGGCAGGGAGCTGGGGAAGGCTCCTCCTTCTGTGGGTCCTGGAAAGGGAGAAAGAGTTTCGACTGCCATCTGTCTTTCCTTCTTCCTGTGGGGTCAATGGCTGAGGAATTAGTGAAGGGGATTGGGAGGCAGGGGAAGAGATGTGTTTTTGAGAACCCTACATCTTCACAGGCATTGCATGATGGCCATACATGATAGAACCTGGAGTCTGGGTATCAGAACTGGGTCAGAAATCTGGCTCTATCTTTAAACATTTATCTTTTATGACTGTGTTTCCCTGGAAAATTATGTAACTTCTCTAGGCTTCAGTTTTTTTATCTATGACATGGAAGATAAATATATTTATCTTGAGGGATAATGGCAAAGATTAAATGAGATAAAATATTTATGAGAGTACCAATAATAATGGACTTTTCTTTTTTCTTTCTTTCTTTCTTTCTTTCTTTTCTTTCTTGTTTTTTTTTTTTTAAGACAGTGCTTGCTTTGTCATCCGGGTTAGTAGCATGATCTTGGCTTACTACAACCCTTGCCTTTTAGGTTCAAGTGATTCTCGTGCCTTGGCTTCCCGAGTAGCTAGGACTATGAACTACCACCATGCTCAGCTAATTTTTGTATTTTTAGTAGAGATGGGGTTTCACCATGTTGTCCAGGCTGGTCTTGAACTCTTGGTCTCAAGTGATTTGCCCACCACGGCCTCTCAAAGTGCTGGGATTAAAGGTGTGAGGCATTGTGCCCAGACAATAGCATTTTTATTGAGTACTCACTGTGTGCCTGGAATTATTCTCTGTGTTTTAAAGTAATAACTTAAACAACAACACTAAGTGCCCTACTTTAATCCCTGTTGTATGGATGTAGGAGCTGAGGCCCACGTAAGGGAAGGGCCTTGTCTCATGTTCAGAGCTGGGAAGTGTTTAGTGACAGGAATCAAACCTAGGTAATCCAATCCTAGTGCTCATACTGTACTAAGCTATACTGCCTTCTGTTTTCTTCATACAAAAGCTAAATTCTCACTATTGCATGACTTTCAAAATAGTTGTTGACAGGAGAGAGAGAGGGAGTTGAGATGTAATTCTGATGTTGCTGAGATTTCTAGTTATTGCCTCAACGCTGATCTATATCAACACCGTGACTGGCTTGGGTTTTGTGGGCCTTACTGGGGATCCAACTTTTGTTCATAAAATTCTTTTTATAGGAAAATGCTTTTGACATTCTAGAGAACAGATTCACATGGGATACTTTTCACTAGTATTTACAGTAGTACTAGTGGTATAGTAATAATTGTCCTTACTCTTAGTGACGGACAATATACTTAACATCTTTTTTTTTTTTTTTTTCCTTGCTTTCTTAAAATGTTTAGTATGAGAGGCAGGGGGAATTGGAAAACTGGTTTTGGTTTTCTTTTCTAAAAGCAGAAAACAATGTAATTAGTGGGAAATTTACTCATAATCTTGATCTTTAAAATCTTCTGCCCTTTCATTCCATTAAGATTGCCTTTTTTTTTTTTTTTTTTTTTCCCAAGAAGGAAGAAAAGAGGCATAAATAGCCAGGCTACTAAATTCTCTTTAATGACTAAAGCTAATAAGAAATGGCTCTGGTATTTCATCCAGCCTTTCAAATAATGGCTCTGTTGTTTTGATCTCAGAAGTGTAAGGGAAGCTTTATATGCAGGGATGGGCGTCCCTGTCTCAGGCACCTGAGAGACTGCATTATATATTTGAAAACCATTTTACAATGTCCCTTCCCAGAGTGTGAGGCCATTGATGCTTTGATGTGGTTAAGTAATTTAGTAGAATCATGTAATAGATTAAATTAGATTTCAGCTTCCTTGAAAGTTTTGAAGAGTACACATGAAATGAGTGTATCCATAATCTTGGAGCACTGACAGCACTTTCCATTTTTTATTTTTTATTTTTCTACGGGCTTCCTTCTCTAATCTTCAATAGAAGCAGAGGAGAAATTGCTGAATTTCATTCTGTAGTATCGCTGCTTGAGTGGGAGAAAAAAAATGCACGTAGGGAAGAAAAGAGGGAGAGATTTTCTAAGACAGAGTGGAAGAAGCTGTTTCATTTTCCGTAAAATAAGTGTTATGTGGTGGTGGGAGGGAACGGGGCAAGAACAAAGACTTCAGAAGGATTTGTAGAGGCAGACATGAGTTTTAGTCTTGAGTCTCGTTTTTTTTGTTGTGTTATTTCATTTCCCTGAGCCTGTTCCCAATTCTGTAAAATTGAAATCATAATATTAAAGTTGAAAATGAGATGATGTAGATAAAATGTGGTCATAATGCCAGTCAGAGTCAACACTTAATACATGGTTGTTTGCTTTCCTCTGATTTCAATTTAGTCAGTTATATATTGAATATTTATTGATATATCATATCAATATATATTGAATATTTATTTTGAAACATACACTTGAGTGCTGTATAATGCATTGACTTAGACACATCAAACTATGCACCTGATATTTTCAGGGAATTAGAGTAGCCCAAACTTAAAATTTTCCCAAATGAATTCGTGGTCCCCACTTTTGCTAGTATTGCTTAGCTCAGCAAATGGTACTATCTTCACCTGACTGCTTCGCCTTCTTTTCCTAAGAAAACTAGGAATCACCCATGAGTCACTCCCTGTTCCTCACCCCTTATAACCAATTCATCACCATATACTGTCGGTTTCTTCCAAATTTTTCTCAGATCCATTAATTTCAGAGCAGTGTCTCCAATTTCACTCTTAGTAGCTACATCCAAGCAATCTTTATCTCTTTCCTGAGTCATAGCAATAGCCTTATACCTCTTCTTCCTGCATATATTCTCATCTTTCTCCACTTATTCTCTAAAGAGACAGCTTTCATAAATGTAAATCTTATCATGTTACTCCTCTGCTCAAAAGCTTTTACTAATTTTTTTATTGCTTTAATGAAAAAGACAAAATTTGTTTTGTTCACCACTGTGTACTAGGCAGCTAACATTAATGCATTGCATATATGTTAATTCAATAAATATTTGTTAAATAAGCAATCATTTTTTTTCAGCATCCATCTGGCTGCTTTTAATGGCAAAACCCACAATTACCTTTGCACCAACCTAACAGATTCATCTCATCCACTGCTACTCGATATGCTATGGTTTTCACATATGTAAACCTGCCAGGACGATAGTATAATTTTTGCTTTAAATCTTCACATATAAAACAAGAGGAAAAACAATCTTTGATATTTACCCAGGCATTTAGTATTTCCAACGACCTGCATTCCTTCCTGAAGATCTGAGTTTTCATGTTATTGATAGCCCTCAGTCTAAAGAACTTTTTGAGAATTTCTTTTAAAATGACAAATTATTTTAGTTTTCTATCTAAAAGTGTCTTTATTCTGCCTTCATTCTTGAAGGATATTCTTGCTGGATTAGGATTCTGGGTTGGTATTTATGTTTTTCAGCACTCTAAAGATGCTGATACACTCTCTACTGGCTTCCATTATTTCAGGTGAGAAGTTAGCAAACATCTGAATCAGTTTCGCTTACATGCTATGTGTCCTTTTTCTCTGGCTGCTTTCAAGATTGTCTTGCTTTTGATTATTAGTAGTTTAACTATGATATGCTTAGGTGATATTTTCTTCATATTTATTCTGCTTTGAGTTGATTGAGCTCTTGAATCTGTAAATTTATGTCTTTCAGGAAATCTGGAGAAGTTTCAGTCATTATTTTCTCACATCTTTTTCTGTGTTGGTTGTCTTCTCTTGCAACTCTAATTACATGTATGTTAGATAGTTTGATATTTTTCTATAGGTTTTTAGGATTTGTTTACTTTTCTTTTTTATCATTCTTCTTCAGATTGGATATTTTCTGTTTATCTTCAAGTTGACTGACTCTACTATATTCTCCACTCTGCTATTAAGTCCATACCATAAATTTTTAAATTTCAGATATTGTGTTTTCAGTTCTAGGATTTCCTTTTTTTGACAGTTTCTATTAATTTTCTGATATTTTCTGTTTTTATTTATTATGAGCATATTTTTCCTTATATGATTGGGCACAAATTATGATAGCTTTTAAAAATAATTGCTTTCTATTTCCAGCTTCTGGGTCATCTTGGGGGTTGGTCTCTGTTGATTATGTTGTATCTTGAGAACAGATCACATTTTCCTGTTTCTTTGTATGTAGAATAATTTTGGAATATATCTTGGACATTCTCACTATCATATTGTGCAGACTCTATACTGTATATTCTTCTTAAAGGTGTTAGATTTTCATTCTGAGAGAATGTTGAGTTAATTGGGTTCAAAGTGAAAAATTTGTCTCTTTGGAATCTATGCAAATTTTAGTTCAGTTCTATTATTCTTATTTTAGCTGTTAATAACTTGCCACGTGTGTGCATAATTCAGAAGTCAGCCAGAGACTTGGATGGAGTTTACACACAGAATTTGGAGCTTCCCATACTTGTTCTCTCCTTTTTGAGACCTTCCCCCGCTGACTTTACAGCAGTTATGGTTACAGTGAACTCTGTTCTCTAATTTTTCAGGACAGAAAGATGCTAGGTTTTCTTTTGGGATTTCTATCGGAGTTTTAGCTATGTAGTGGTGCCCATTATGGCCTGCCCTCAGGGTTGATCTATTTTAAAAGTGATACTTATTCTACTGTTTCCTTCTCTGCAGAACTTTTTTCTTTTGTTCA